CACCATAAGAAGTGACTTTCCGAAGGCCACCTGAGCGTGACTGAGTCTCAGCAAACCAGGGAAAACTCTAGGGAAGACTGCTATGGGGAGGTTGGGGAAACTTATTTCCATCCGTGCCTGCTTGAGAAACAGCGGCTGCTCCCCGACACTGGGTTTCATAATGTCTGAATTCTCCAGGAATTTGGAAGGAGCACATGAATCTATAATCGGCTACTGTGCTCCTCACACTTGGGGATTACATATCCACATTTTAAAATAAAACCCCAGGCCCGCTCATGCTAACAGTCAAGTAGGGAAGGCAGTCCAGGAGCATGCTGGGGCAGATATCAGGACACAGCGATTCCCCTTAGGATGTTGCGGGCAGGACAACAGGCACGCTGTCCTGTTTGGAGTCCTCCTCCACCCCAATCAGGGCCATTCTGGGAAGGGGCAATAAACCTTCCCTCCTGAGCTTTCCCAAAGATCACACTGAAGTGATGCAGGTTTCCTGCCTGGCCCCCAGGCCAGTTGACCCACCTGGGAATGTAATCTCCAACAGGGACTCACTAGGTGAGGAGGTAGTGATCACTGTGCTTGCTCGGCACTCAGTCATTTCAGCACCTACTTGTGTTAGAAGCTGAAGGGCTTGGGGAGTGGATTATGCCTTGGATAGGCCTGTAGGCTTGGACCCTGTCTCTCAGGCAGGCCCTGTTGGGATAAGGCTCTCCTGTGGGAAGTTGTCCTCACTGACAGGTGGAGTGAGGGCCCTCCACGCCTATCTCCATGTCCTTACCCACCTGGGCTACTGGCAACCTACTGCAAACTTCACAAAGGGCTAGAGGGACATGGTTTGGCCTGCATGAATTTGGCCTGTGGCCTGACCCACAGCAAGTGCCCAGAAGAGGGCTGCTGCACAGAGCTATGGCTGCTCAATCAGTACTTTCTCCCACAACCCTGGCTACACCCACCTCAGCCTCCCATAGGCCCAGCACTACACACAAAGCAGGGCTTCTACTCCTCCTAAGCCTCCTGGATCAGGCTCATCTGACCAACTGAGCAGGGAGCTACAGGTCTTTCATCATCATCCCTCAGCCCAAAAGACCAGGTTGAGGGAGGCTAGTCAGTCCACAGACAGGTTCACTACCAAGGAAATCTTGGAAGGCCTTTCTGTGTGTTAAGAGAACACAGAGGCCTGGCCCAGCCCTAGTAGGGCCTATTGATGGCCAGAGAGCCAGATCTGCCCTCCAAGGAGGTACCTGGTTCTGAGATATAAACAGCCTTCAAATCAAATCCTCAAAATAAATGTTTAAAATTGTATATCTATGTGCACATTTTTAAGTTGACATCTAAAATTTCTCATCGTAAGTTTAAATGCTTGCAGAGGATGTAATTTCCAACATACTGTAAATATTAACATTTTAAAAGAAAACTGTTACTGTTTCTCTCTCAAATGGATCCAATAGAATCTAAATACTGCAGTGATCTGAGATCTACCATCACCCATTTTAAAATTATATAATCAGACTCTTCATTGACAGCTGGAAATCGAACAATGTTCCTTTTTCTTCCTTGACTCTAATTTGCAATCCACTTCCCTCAGAGGTGTTTGTTTATACCATACAGAGTACTTTATGTTGTAAAGCCTTTTACTGATTCTACTGAGCCCAAGAAATTTATGTCTATAATTTTGTTAAATTTCTCATATGACCATGAAGTTATTAAATGTCAAATTTTTCCTCTAGACTAAGCTATTTCTACAATTATTATTAGTATGTAACTGTTCAACATGATAAAATATACTTACTCAAAACTGTACAAATAGCATAAAAATAAAGCTTTATTAGAAATACAACTCTGAAGAGACAAATGAGACCTTTTAAAAGAGCATTTTATGTATCCACAGATGAATATTACCTATTGCTAGAATAAGACAAAGTTTATCAGTTCTTTCTCCACTTTTCAAGTTTTATAGATACAAGTGTTAAAATAACTTGCTTAAAAAGAAAAAAATGGAATGGAGATTTGCCATAGCAAATTCTTTAGATTCTTTTAGAATCATACCAAGGATTACAGGAATCTCTTATCAAAAATAATTTGGGTATCAGTTGACAACTTGATCGGATCATCTTTCAATTTTGTTGCAAGCACAGAAATGGAGATACCTCCCTGGCCCAGAATTATAATGACCAGTTGCCTTCCCTAACTACTGGAAGGCTCTTTATCCTGTGTCCCATTCTGAGGTTCAGGTCTGCCCAGCGTAGATGAGAATATGTGGCTCTGGAGATCATCAAATTCCATGTGCCAAGCCCAGTGCCACCTCATCACCCAAACTCAGTCTTCACCATGATCCTAGGGTCAGGCACAATGACTGCCCCACTATACAGATGGGCAGAATGCTCAGACAACTGGCCCAAGTTCACACAGCCAGAACCTGAACCCAGTCAGTCCTTGCTCCTCCATACCAGGTGCACTGCCCTGTAGAGGTGGGAGGAGTAATGAAGTGGTAGGGGCAGCTGGGGTTGACAAGGAAGGAGAGTTTACAAGCTCCTTCCCCAGCACATCGACTGTGGGGATGTGAGAAGTTAAAGATCTGCAAAATTTACCTTTCTTTCTTTGTTTGTTTATTTTTATGGTACTGAGGTTTGAACACATGGCTTCACTTTGTGCTTGAGAGCTAGGCATTCTACCACTGAGCCCTTTCTGCCTCTAGTCCTTTTTACTCTGGTTATTTTGGAAATACGGTCCTGCTTTTTGCCCAGGCCAGCCTGGACCACAGTCCTACTATTTTTAAGCTTAATTTTTAAGTGGCTGAGATGATAGGTGGATGCCAACACACCCAGCTTTTTTCCATTGAGATGGGGTATCACAAACTTTTTTGCCTGGGCTGGCCTAGAACCTCAATCCTCCTGATCTCAGCCTCCCACATAGCTTGGGATGGCAGGTCCAGCTACTGGTTGAGATGGGGCCTCCCAAACTTCCTACTTAGGTTGGCTTCCAAACACAATCCCCCCATCTCAGTCTCCCAAGTAGCTAGGATTACAGTCATAAGCCTGGCACCAAACTTTACTCCCATCCTCACCTACGAAAGTTACACACAAATGCTCCTTTAAAGTAAATGGCAATTACTGGTACACTGCAGTCCCTGTAAATATCGAACACTGATAATGTCACTGTTGCCATTGAATAGCAGGAAGAGAAATGATTCCCATGACCTGGACAAACAGGCAGAATCTTACTGGGATTTTACAGGTCCTTACTCTAGGCCCCGATATCCTCTTAGAAAGTAGCCAAAGATCAGCAATGCTAAGCAAGCAAGCATCTAGAAAACAGAGTGGCCTCCTAACCTGTGGAGAAGACCTGCAGAGCAGACAGACAGACCCAAACTCAGCCTCAACTCCACCACTGACTACTGAATTCCCCCGATATCCTGAGCCACAACATCCTAAGGCTCAGTTTCCATGCCTCTACAGAGCACAGGGCACCGCCTACGCCAACAGGTGGCTATGCAGGAGGAACAGAGGACCTGAGGCAGAAGATGCCAGGGTGGTAGGACAGGGTCACCTCATACTCTCATTCACTCAACCTAAACTCAGTGATTGGCAAGCTACCTACTTCTGGCTTCCAAGGGCCCACAGCCTGGGATCTGGTACACAGAAATCTGGCTGATTTTGAAAAAACAGCCAACTGATTTGTCTGCCAATTTTTGCAGAATCTTTCTCAACATCTTAAAATTTCAAAGTTCACCAACAGTCCTGGATGCCAAGAGGAGGTGTCCAGAGTAGCATCATCACCATGGGTTTTATTTTTAGATAACAAAGAGAAAAGCATCCAGTTTGGCTTTCTGCTAGTCCCCAGCTACCACTTCTTCCTCCAAGTCATCACCAAAATGAACAGCAAACACATCTCCAAAGATTTTCAAACTCTTTTCTCTGCCTGGCACACTCTAAAACAATGGCTCCAGGCTCCCATTCCACCCACACACCATGCATGAAAGGTCCCCAGAGCAACTCTGAGCTTCTGCTAGTCCCCAGGTACTGGACCTGCCAGGAATGGGGAGGCCTCTTCTGTGGCTACCAAGGAAGGACCTCTTGAGGTTTACAAAGGTGGGCTTGGGCTTTCTAGAAACTTCCTACAGATGTCTACCAGGCTAACTCATTAGCCCTGATCTGTTCCCCAACTTGGGTAACCCTCTGGAGCAGCAAGCAGATGTTACCTGCAAAGCAAGAGAAAGGCAGGCCAGCCTAGCATACAGATAGTAAAGTTCATTAGGCAGGAACAGCAAGAGTGACAGACCACAGGGCTCACTAATTGCCCATTTTGTGCACATGTCACAGCCTGCCCTTCACTATAGGCCTCAATGGAGAAAACTGCCTCCTTCCCGTCCTTCATGAATCATAAGCAAGGGACAAATGTTGCTGGTCAGAAGTCTCAACAGGCACCTCAACCCAAGCTCCTCTCAGACAACCAGGCCTCCTGGCTTCCCTGAGATGACTGAAGTCAGAGCCTGCATATCTACTTCAGGGCTGGAGGGCCAACCCTGTGCCTGGGAGAGCTCCTCCATCCACCTGTCAGTCCTCCCTCCTTCCCTCCTTCCTTTCTTCTCTCTCCATTCACCTATCCATACTTCTCCCTCCCTCCCTTCATCCATCCTTCCTTCTCTAATCAATGAACATCTGACCCAAGTCCACCCAGAACAGAGGACAGACAACAGGACACCCAGCAGGGTGGCTGTAGTCCCTTCACCCTTCCTACCCCTGACCCAAGCACAGTCAGGCCTTCCAAGGACTCCCAAACCTCCAGCTCCTTCTCCTGACAAGGCCCTAGTAACTCTCCAAACCCAAGCATCCTCTGCCGGTTTGTGCCAGGCCTGGGGTGGAAACTGCCTCAGATCCTCCAGGAAAAGGTATGAGGCAGCTATGTGTGACGAGAGAGCCGAGTCCGCAGATTCTTAGGAGACAGGGAAAGATGAGTGCTGGAAGTTACTCTTCCTGGAAAATGGCAAAGAAGAGATCTGTACTCACCTGCACAACCTCTATCCCTCGCTTCCTGTAGAGAAAAACAAAGAAAACAAATGTTACTCTAGCATAGGAAGCATCCTCTCCAGAATGTCTTCTAGAGCCAGCTGAAGTGAGAAGAACTGCATGAGGAGAGCCAGCTGAAGGCAATGCCTCTCACACCACTGTCCCAGAATGGCCTCATTTCAAGTAAGTTTATGAACCCCAGCCCCCTCACAACCTTCTGTGACCTAGAAGAAAGGTTGGTTCTCAGAGGGACTTGGCTAGAGCCCTGGAGGACTTGACAGCAGCAGTCTCCCCTCCAGCACTGGGTCAGGCCTTCACCAGTGGAGCTCAACCTCTACTGCCCCAAGACCCTACTGGCCAATGAATTTACCCAAAAAGCCTGCATCCCTGCTCATTTCTACCACCATCCATGGCTCCCATGTCCTGGTCCCATGCCAAACACCTCAGCCTGTTAGGCTCACAGGGCTGTCTCATCCCTTATCTGGGTGCATACTAACCCCTTAGACCTCAGGCCTTGTCCCAAGTGGGACTCTTCTAGGAAGTCTCCCTAGCCATAGACACCCACCTCCACCCACACAGCATCCCAAGAACTGTCTAGCTCACTCTCTAGCCCTTTGTTCTCCACACCAGGAGGAGTGCTAGAACAGGGCACACTGCGGGCCTCTGGCAGGTGCTCAGAGAAGGCTGGAACCAGGCAAGGCCAGCAGACCGCAGTTTACTCACCCCGGCTCCCTGGAGCAGGGGCTGTGCAAGTTTAAAACATATGTGCCTTGTGCCTAGCTCTGGCACCCACCTGGAACCCAGAAACTCATACATGGCTGCTTGTAAATGAAAGTATAAATACAGAAAAACTTAGCTTGGCTCCTGGGCCGGGCCTGGGACACAGAGGGAACCATAAATGCAGCAACAGTCTGGGCAGGGCCAGAGGCCTCAAGGAGGGGACAAGCATGCAGGAAACATCTGGGCAGCCAGAAGGAGGACCTCAAATTGCCTTCACAGCTGAAGCCACATCTACACATCTATACGTTTGTCGGCTCATTCAACAAGTGATTCCTGAGCACCTCCTGGGAGCTGCACTCGGTGATCCTTACAAAGGAGCCACCATATGGGACACCAGGCCGAAGCCCATAAAAGCTGGCCTCATCCACTGTGAGGAGCCCCTGGCTAGCCTTCCCTTCAAGCCCGACACTGCAACAGAACCCTGTGTGCCGAGCAACTAAGTGTGGAACCACTGCGACTGACACTACCAGGGCCTTCATGCCATTCTGCTTCCCAGCAGTTCCTGAAAGAATGTGGCTAATATCCATTAGTTCAATGATTGCACGAGGAACAGGCTAGACACACATCAGCACAGCCCTGGGACACCAAAGTCTATAGCAAGGGGAGAGACAGCGTCACCTACAGCATTTCTGAGTACCTATAGACACCTCAGGGCCCACCTCATTCCCAGATCATCCTGACCCACTGGAGAGAGAAAACTGAAGTGAGGGTGAGCGAGGGAACCTGCCCTAGGTCACATGGCCAGTAACAGTGATCAGCCAACCTGGAATTTCCTGGGTCTGCCCCCAGAGTAGAAGTCTTAAACCCAAACAATAGCATGTAGACCACTCAAGTCAAGGCAGGAGCCAAGAAATGCATGTGACCCACACCAGGTGGAGCCAGTTCTCCCAGGGCTCTGGAACTCCATTCCCTCTGGGAAATCCTGCAGGAATCCAGATTATCCCAGCACGTAGCACTCTCTACCAAACCAACTGTGATCACGTCCAGTCAGTCCACATTTACATTATCCCAGTCCTTTAAAGAAAAGGGGGAGAGGGGAGACACCAGGAAATGTGTCAACAAAAAACTATAATCTAGAGAAAGGGTGGCTGAAACCTCACAAATCATCTAAAGAAAAGGCAGTTGAGGCCCCAGGAGCTCTGCCTTGTAGCTCCACCAGCTCAGAGATCTAGAGCAGAATAAATCCCAACTGACAGGAAAGAGCGGGCTCAGCACCCCTTGCCATCCACATCAGGCCACATATAAAACAGACAGCCCCTGCTGCTCACTGACTGTCCTGCAGCCCTATGTGGGGGGGATAGGGGGCAGCACAAGGAGGGGCTAATGACTCCATTACTTGCATAAGCAAGCTAAGGCTCAGGAGATTGGGAAGCCACCCTGGAGCCAGATTCACCCCATCTGTGCCACAGCCAGGTGCAATACAGCTGGGTGGCAGCCCCCAGAAGGGCAAAGCCCAACTCTAGCCTCCAGGACCTCAGTGTAATTGAAAACCTCACCCCCTCTAGTGATAAAGTCAGGCACATGACCATCTGCCTCTTAGGAAAATTAAGTAACCCACAGGGGCTTGTTTCTTCATCAGGAACTTCTGCAGAACAAAGGTATCAGAAACCTTGAAGTTCCAAGGGCCAGGATCCCAAATCCTACCATAACCACAAAGTTCAGAAACAGAATCACAAAATCAAAGGGGAAGAGGGAGAAAGGAGGACATGGAAGCAGGGGAGAGGAAAGAAACAGAAGAGCTCGTTGTTAAGTTAAGTGACTAGTTAGTTGTCTCCTGTAGGAACGCTAACTCACCACCCTAGTGCCTAGTAATGAACCCAGACACACTCAAACTTGCAAATACTTCAGGCCTGAGATGTCAGCTGCCAAACTATGATTCTGAAAAACTGGGAGCAAATGACATGCCCCAAAGAGACACCACTAACAAACCATATGCAGCCAAGGAATAGTATGAAACAGCAAAAAAGAAGGAAGCGCTCCACATGCCCAGGAGGAATATCTCTAAGGCACTGCCATGTGAAACATACAAGTTGCTGAATGAACCCTGTGCACTATATGCAACTCTTTGTGTTGAAAACAACATTCAGGACAAGAATGTGTGATTACACGTGTACAAAATGAATCTGAAAGTGTTACAAGAAAATGACCACAGCAGGGCCTCAGGTCAAGGACAAGAGTAGCTGGGGGAAAGGCAGGAGAAGGAGATTTCCTTTTCACGGTGTCCCTGAATTCTGTGCCATGTATCTATAACACAGTCTCAAAAACTGTGTTTTTTTTTAAATTTTTTTTAAATAACAGGCAAAACTCTAGTTACCAGTTTTATCAGGGCCTGACATAAAAAGGATGCTTGATAAAAGCAGGAATCGATGGATGATGTCAGCAGGACTGATGGATGAGGCAAAGCAGCAGAAAGTTCAGGATTTACCGAGAAAATCTTCCTTAGCTGGGGATAGTGGTACACATCTGTAATTCCAGCACTCAGGAGGAAAGGCAAGAGGGAAGATCTTGAATTTGAGGCCAGCCTGGGCTACACAGTGAGGCCCTATGGAAGGAAGAGAGGGAAGGGGAGGAGGAAGAAAAGGAGGAAAGGAAGGAAAAAGAGGAAAGGGATGGAGGGGATGGAGAGAGGGATGGAGGGAAGAAGGGAGGGAAGTAAGGAAAGAAAGGGAAGGGGAAGGGAGGAAAAGAAGGGAAGAAAGGTTGGTTCCAAATTATGCTCAAAGACTAGCTAAAAATATACCCATTCTGGGGCCACAGAACCATCACACTGGACACTCAGCACAGATCCTCGGCCCACGTAAACACTGGGTCCTTGGAAACAAACCAGAAGGGCACAGGCTGCAGAGTTAACTATGGCTGCAGGGCAGCTGACAGTAGGAAAGTAAGGTGGAGGTTTTTCCTTTACACTTTCCTACATTTTCAGTGTTTTCTACAATATGCATATATATTATTTGCAACACTACAGAAAAAGCAACAAAAAAAGTTAAAGTTTAATAAGTAAAATATTAAAATTTGTATCCAAGCATCTTCATAGGCTCTAAAACTCACTTTCTTGGTAAACACTGCATTAATAAGTTTGGGCAGAGTTCTACCCTACAAGTCATAAACATAAAATTGGTTTTTCAAAGCTGGATCACCAATAATGAGAGGACCTCTCTCCCCAGAAGTCTAAGGAGAAAACACTTGGGGGATTTAAAATCTCACAAAGTGATCACTCCTTCCGGGGAGGAGGGATGGCAATTGGAGAAGGCTTCAGGGAAGAACAAACAGCATTTGTCGTCAGAGTGGGCAGCTGAAGAATGACTGAGACAGACATTGGGGAGAGAATTCAAAGAAGAATAACGTGCACCCCCCCCACCGCGCCCAGCTGGGTGTCAGGGGGCATGGGAACATAAGACCCACAGTGGGGACTGGCTCAGGGGAAGAAGAATTTAGGCCCAGCACAGCACCTGGTTCATATGGGGGATATAGATAATGTTACTTTTACTCTGCCCTGCTGCCTACTTTTCTGCCTTTCAAGAAACATCCTCTGCTATTCCGTATGAAGTGGTGACCCTCCATTATAGGCACATTAATGGCCTACTTACTTAAATGCAAGATGGGCATGGCACCAAGCCTGTTCTCCCTAGAACAGGTCCTGAAGACTATCCTGCCTAGAAATGTCAGAGATCACATGGCAGGAATCTTGACCAAACCACATGGGCAGAGGAAGGGGAGCATTCTCCTGCCAGAGTTCAAGGACCCAATCCAGCCTGGAGCTGATCCTCTCTGGCTCTGTAGCTGCTTATCTCTGCTTAAGCCCTTTCAAGCTGGGTATCTGTCACTGGCCACTAGACAACAGGGACTCTCTAAGTGGCAGCAGCTGCCACTTCCTGACAAAAATTATCCTATATGACCTGCTGCTGGGACAATAAAAGAGTCCAGGAAAGAAGACCCAAAGAGGAAGTAGAAAAAAGCAATACAGAGCTCAGAGAAATAGCCACAGTACCACACCAGAGAGGCCATGTAAGGCCTGATGCACAGACACTGTAGTAGTCCCCGGAAGACTAATGCAACACACTCTGGGCCTCCTCACAGCAGAACAGGGCATAAAAGCCTCAGTTCACCACAAACATCAGTAAAAGGCCCCAGAGGTGTTGCTGAGCCACCCTGGGTCTCCACTTTTACAGGTTGTTAAACGAATCTTTCTATTTAGGGAGGACCTGCCCAGGCAGCTGTTAGCTCCTGTGAACTGCAGACAGGGAA